GATGTAAATGAGCAATTATGCTACAATCTGGCTCCTTTACAGTCTGTACAGAAGTATAAGAATGTTCATTAATGTGCACTGTCCTGTTTAAATAAAGTTAAAAAAAATTAATTAAAAAATCAGCAAATCTGAAATTAGAGGAAGTAAACCAACCAACTACATAAATATACCTAAAACCAGCCGACAAGGTCAACTTTACAGGAAGCAATATTCATTTATTTCATTAGAAATTTACAAAAATAAAATGTAAAAGACTGAATAGACAAAAATCAGTGAAAGTGAGTGTTTAATTCCACCAGGATTATTTAAAAAAAGAAGTGAAATTAGACTTAAAAAACACACAAATAACTCAGAATGCACTTTTTTTGCATGTTTTACTGTCAGACTAAATAACTGATACATTGGATCTGTTGAGGGAGCTCAGACTGGCCCTAGTAGCTGTCATCACATCATGTGTTCATTTCTGACCCAGTGCCAGGAGCGGCTGCCACCACTGACATGAAAACAACCACAAAACACTTGTGTGTCTGCAGATCGACCCACCCAMTGAATTCACTGTCACCATTCAGGGCCAGAGATACTGTTTATCTCCAAATTAAAGTTCCAGCGAGGCTCAGATTGTGTTTGTTGTGTATCAAGTCATGTACAATACATGTGTGTTGTGTGTCTGAAGAGTTTAGCATGTGAAGCAGTTCCTGTTTCTTCCTCCAGCACAGACACAGCCAGGCTCTGAGGAACCAGAGGGTCTGTCGGTCACATCTTCTGCGTTTGATGTCAGCTCGTCGTGGGCCTGACAGGAAACAGGACATCGTGGTTAAAAGAATCAGCTGTCCCTTCCTGGCACTCAGAGGAAGACGCTGAGACGTACGGCGTTATTCTGAGAGGACGACACCTCGCGTGTTTTGACCTCAGCTCGTTCGCGCAATCAACGATGAAACCACAGCTGTTGTTGCTTTTGAGATTGTTCAGATTTTTTAACATAATAACCTGTTGACAAGTTTGKTTTATAGGCTCTGAGGAATCTGAGSAGAGAGATRTAAACTTTTTCGAAACAAGGTTTGRCTGYRATAATTTGTGTTTTTATTAGTTTATTAGTAGTTTTTTGTTTCATTATTAGCTTTAATTTGTGTTTTCATTTTATCAGTTTATCTGTTTCCTTTGTGCCGTTTACTCAGTCGGTTTTCTGCCACGCCCGGTTACACCTGTTCACAGTTTCAATTAGTCACAGCAGCCACTCCTCCTCATTAGACTATATTTTCTGTTCATTCTCACACATTATCTCCTTTTGGTGTATCATGTTCTCCCCAGTTTGTCGGTTTTGCTCTGCCTCTTCAGTGTTTTTGTTTTTCCAAAAAAGTTTTTTTTTWRKTTTTTTTTCTTTTCTTGTGCCAGTCTGCGTTTTTTGGGTGTGACTTCCTGCAAACCTATGACACTGGTGTAAACTTAGAGATGGGTAAAMTGGCGTTTCTTTTTAAAAGACATTAGTCATTTCCTGTATTGTGCTTTATATTTCTGCACAAACTCAAATAAGCTATTTGTGATGTTGCTGATTTTTGGAACCATTTCCAGAACTGCACAGCTAAATACGTTCTCTCTTTAGCAGCAGCCCCGATTGCTCCCAAAACTGCACTGATGTCCTTTTAACTCAAACAAATCTGTAGAGGTACATATATTAATCCCCATGTGTTAGTGTGGTCCCTTTAATAGTTACTACCATACTAAGTCTAAAACATGAAAAAATAAACATGGCTCACTTGTTGCACAGAGGAAAATGTTCACAAGTGGAAAACATTCCAAACAAATGCAGGATTTTGCAGGAATCAACGTCCGGACGAGTTCACCAAGAGGTCAGGACATTCATTATATCTGATTTTCACAACAAACGTGGAAACACCTGCGYCTTATCTTTGTTCGCTTTTTGTTTAGAAGATAAGTTTGTCTCTTTCCTCGGGGATGGGTTGGGGGGGGGATTATCCAGTTGACAGTCTGGAAACCTTTGGTCAAAGTGACAAAGCTGCACTGCAGCATCAACACAGACCAGTTAACTGTGAACATGAGAAGGAAGCCAGCTTTGGAAGGAGCCGGCTGCTGTTTTTTGACGTGCATACTTCCGACAGCTGCATGCATGTGTGCACTGTTAACACACACACACACACACACACACAACGTGCCATTGTTAACAGCTGGCAGGGTTTTAGATGCTGCATTACTCCAGGCGCGCAAAAAGAAGCCGAGATAATGTGGCGCGTAAACCTCGGCTGTCAAAACTGTAAAGCAAATGAAACAATGTGGCGCAAACAGTAAATATGTTCACAGCGTGAGTATAAAYCTTGTGTAACACAGTAATCCCCACTGTCAGAACCTGTTCATTCATAACTGCCATGAATGGAGTGTAATTTTTTATTTGTTTAAATTTCTTTTGCTTGTTTGAAATATTTTGGCTTTATTCCTCACGAATTAATCACAAAATACTTCCAGCAATTTCCTTCACAGGAACAGGGCATGAGCTTCTTTTGATCAGTGGGCCTCGCATGCCCGACCATACCATGTGGTCATACAGTATGCTGACATCATCAAAGCCCCGCCCCTGACAACAGGAAGTGACGTTTTGCTTGGAAAGCTCCATCTCTGACCCTCTTTACCTAATCAGCCCCCTATTATTATTTAAAACATTAGCTCCAAGACATGCTTGAAGCAGGAATCATGAAATTTGGTACACGTGTAACATCTCAGGACCTACAAAAAAGTCTCTTGGAGTCATGGTCCAATCCCCACAGGAAGTCGGCCATTTTTTTTTATCAAAGCTGATAATGTGTCTCTTTTCTTGCACGCGTATCTTTTGTGTGCATCGCAAGGGAGACCTGCTCAACACGTTTGTGTCGTAGTTTGACAAGATCACTTTAGCCCCCCGTCCATCCGTCTGTTCACCCTGTGAGATTATTTAAATATGAAGGYCTGCGATGATTCCAGCAAAACTACTGAAAGGCGWCGGGGGACATCAGCGACGGTTGGCGTCGAGTTCTATCTTGTAGTTTTAGTGAACAAAAGCTGCCCTCAGCTATAACCTAAAAATACCRGAGGTCAGTTTGTTCTAAAATCTGATGCACAACTTGTCCTTTCTTTGCTTTAAAACTCATGTTTACTTTTGTCCTCTTCAACTTTTCCATCAGCAGGTTGAGTGTTTTCTGTAAAGAAATCCCGGATAAACCGACGTTTTCGTTCCCAGGGTGTCAAATATTGCAGTTTGGCCAAAGCTGGTTGGAATTCTAAGAGACATTTTGWTTTCCAGGCAGGAGGGTGAGTTTAATGGAAAATAATTTAGATGATGCAAAAATGTGGGGAATTTTTTTTGTTTTGAAGTCTTTGATGTGAGCTTTTAGTGAAGCCTTATCATCTGATTGATTATTGCACCAAAAACAAACAGGGTTTAAGGTTGWACACTTAAAAAGTAAGTTGTTGAATGTGGGAAAATGTTACATGCAACAAAGTTGTGGCAATATAATTGAACAATTTAGTCATACTGACAGAGCATGAATGAGTCTTTAATTGTCTCCTCCAGACTTGATTACTGCAACGCCCTCCTCRTTGGAACTCCTGTGAAGAACTTACAAAAATTACAACATGTTCAGAATAGTGCTGCAGGGATCCTGACGGGGGTGCGCAAATTTGAACATACAGATCTCCTCGCTCCTCRCTGTTCCTCACGCACTCTCCGCTCCTCAAATACAAATATTCTTCACATTCTCAAGACTCACACCCGCACCATTGGTGACAGGGCCTTTTCCTGTGCTGCTCCTCGCCTGTGAGATACCCTCCCTCCTCTTCTGAGGGCTCAACAAACCGTGGCAGGTTTCAAAGCTGGCCTAAAAACCTTGCTTTTTACACAGTGTTTTTCTRTTTAGTATTTTTACTGGTTTCCTTTTAATTAATGTGCCTTGCTTTGGCTGTGGATTACCTTGCCCCCTCATCTTATGGCTCCACAGACGGCTGGCTTCAAAACAGACCTAAACCTTCCTTTTTACTTAGTGTTCTTATTGATTTCCTTTAATTAATGTTTTATTTTTATCTGTTTAACATGAAATGTGTATTTCATTCTACCTGTATTGTTGCTGTTGTATTTGATTGTAGAACTTTGAGATTTTTTTCTAAAATGTAAAGTGTCTTATAAATCCATCCATCCATCCATC